CTATCTAGGCTTACAGCAATAGACTCTATTACCAGTTCATAATATCTCTTTATTAAGAAATCATTCATTAACATTTTGAAATCGTTAATACGACCCCACGAACTACTCAAGCTGCGGGCCCCATGACTGGACAACCCATAAGGTTCCATGACTAAACAAGCCATGGTTTTCAAAACGTTTTCTTTCACAAACCAATCCCTTTCTTTAAAACATTTTCAAGGCCAAAATCCTTTTTGAAAACAGGCTCACAAGGAAAAGTGATAGAAATCCTACCTCGCACTATCAAACCTGGGACTAGCGTTGCCTTTTTCGACTTCCGCTTCCTTAAGCCCCTTCAGTCTGAATCCTCAGCGATCACTGATGCAAAACAACACTTTAGGATTAATTCTCATTCCTAAAGCCATCCAAATCTCAATTTCCAACCAAGATTTTCTATGAGTGTGCCCTAATCCATTTTCATGTTTCAAAATATCATTCCAAGGGTTTTCAATCTCAAATCAATGATTAACAATGTTAATCCATTTATCTCAAGTCCCCAAATAAAGCTAATTTGGGTTCTCTCCGAAAACAGGGGTCAAAACAGCAATTTCAGGCCAAACAGGGTCAAACCCCGTGTCAACCAGTCGACCGGTGGCATAGCAGTGCAACACTACCGGTCGATCGGTAGTGTGCACACCAGTCGACCGGTCAGCCTGCAATTCGGTCGACCACATAGGTCAACCGGTTTCCATGTGATCCGGTCGACCGCACTGGTCGACCGGTGGAATCAGCTGCGCGAGAGAAGCTCGTGGAAATCAGTCCACAACCTGCAAATCCAGTCCCAAATCGAGATATTTCAAAAGAAAATCACTAGATCTGGGTTCTAGGTCCTATAACAAGTTCAAAGAACCCAAGATCTCCAATTTCTACTCTAGTTTTACTCAAAAACCATCAAAATCCGGTTTGAACCAAAAATAAGTTTTGAAATTCAAAAACTTAAGATTCAAGAGAGGTTCTTTCAGTAATCTTACCTTGAATCCTTCTCTTGACATTGAAAACTTCTTTAAATCTTTCCTTGGTTCAAGATCCGTTTGATTTGGGACAAAAATGAGAGAGAGAGCACGAGAGAGTGAGGGAGAGAGATGCACGGGAAAGGAAGGGAAAAAGAAAGGAAAAGGAAAAAGGTAAGGAAAAAGGAAAAAGAAAAGAAAAGGAAAAGGAAAGAAAAGGACATGTGTACAATATTTTAAAAGAACAGTCCAGAAATGCGCCCATACACACTTCTGGGTTAAAATAAATTACTAAAAATAATTTAAATACCTTGGAACTATTTAAACTCACACGTGTCAGAAACATTTATTAATTAATACTCAATTAATAATCCAGATTAAGCACACTAATAATCTCAATTACCTTAATTAATCGTAATTAATTCTTCAGGGCGTTACAGTACCGAATCAACACTCAAGAGAATTATTTATTTACTTCTTTCTCAAGAAGGAATGTATTCCATCTTGTATAATAACATTCCCGGCTACCTATTTCATCATGTCTCCAAAATACAAGGAATAGAATTCAGGGTCTCAGAATCCGTACCGAGTAAATAAAAAGACATAAATCCATAAATAGGAGTTTGTTAAGAACTCAGGATTAAGATCATTCTATATATGACCATCGGTAGACTCAATTAGAATTTCTATGCTTAACGAAAATTATTAGAAATTCATATTGTGTTTGTGTCCCTGTTCCACACAATCTCATTATGCGAAATACACTTATTCAATATCTCACCATATTAACAGTGCTTATAGCACCGTTCCATTCTAAATAGGAATGACATGTATTAATAATGTTTTAATTAAAGATTTTGATATTTAATTAAATTCATTATGAACAATGTTTTTTATTATTATCCTTAAACATTATCTTCTCGTATATAACACTTATATACTATGTTTAAGGATACATAAATAATCACAGAATTTTCATTTGATATTCATAAAATATTCATAAATATATGCACATAAAATGATGAATAAACTCTTTTATTAATTAAATAATAAATATCCTATTACAATTTATGCTTCTAGGATACTAGTTGCTTAAAGAGATTGGGAGCTAGAACAAATGGATGTAAAAACTGTTTTCTTACATGGAGATTTGAATGAGACAATCTACATGAGACAACCCCCAGGTTTTGAAGAAAGCAGTAAGGAAGAAAAGGTATGTCTATTAAAGAAGTCCCTTTATGGACTTAAACAGTCACCGCGTCAATGGTACAAGCCTTTTGATCATTATGTGATCAAAGAGGGGTTCAATAGGAGTGATTATGACTCATGTTTGTATTACAAGGATGTTGGAACAGAAAGAGCAGTATATCTTCTACTCTATGTAGATGATATGCTGATCACAAGCATAAAGTCTAGTGTAATTAATCAGGTGAAAGAAATGCTAAGCTCAGAGTTTGATATGAAAGATTTAGGAAGGGCTAAGCGGATATTGGGAATTGATATCAAGAGGAATAGGCAGCAAAAGGTGTTGTGTCTATCTCAAGAAGAATATTTGAGGAAGGTAGTATATAAATTCTCTATGAATCAAGCAAAGGTAGTTCGAATCCCATTAGCTGGCCATTTTAAACTTTATATAGATCAGTCACCGAAAACTAAAGAAGAAAAGCAAGAGATGTCCAATATTCCATATTCAAGTGCACTTGGATCATTGATGTACGCAATGATCTGCACAAGACCAGATTTGGCTTATGAACTAAGTGCATTAAGTCAATATATGTCCAATCCTGGACATGAGCATTTGCAGGCAATGAAGTGGTTACTTAAATATGTGAACAGTACATTGCAATATTGTTTAATTTACAAATGTAACTCTAATCACTTGGTCTTGGAAGGTTTTGTTGATTCTGATTTTGTAGGTGACAAAGATAAGAGAAGATCAACTTCAACATACGTCATGACACTTGGAGGAAGTTGCATCAGTTGGAAGGCACAACTATAGCCAGTGGTAGCTCTTTCAAGTACTGAAGCAGAATACATTGCTGGAGTTGAAGGATTCAAAGAGATTATTTGGCTGCAAGGATTACTGAAAGAACTCAAAGTGATGGAGGGTTCTTCTGTGATATATTCAGATAGTCAATCTGCTATTCATTTATGCAGGAATCCAGTTTATCATGAAAGAACAAAACATATAGATGTGAGACATCACTTCATCAGAGACAAGGTTGAAGAATGAGTAATTAAACTGGAGAAGATAGGGACTGAAGATAACCCAGCAGATATGGCTACTAAATTTGTTCCACTGAGCAAGTTTCAGAAGTGCTTAGACTTGCTCAGTGTTGGCAAAACGTGAAGAGGGTAAGTAGAGCCATGGCCTCACAAGAAGTACAATCTAGATTATTGCTTTTACTTGGAATCAAGGTGGAGTTTGAAGGAGTAATTCCAAGTAAACGACAACAATTTATTTGTTAGCTTCACTATAGATCAAAGTGACATGTCGTTTACAAGGAGGAAGAGCCAGAGATGTGTGTACAGCCAATCACAAGTGCACGCGTAGATGTCTTAGTGAGTCGGTGCCGTCTATTTTGACTATTAGTATAAATAGTCTATTGTGGCTTTTTCGGTGGAATTAATTCACTTGTAATAGAGAGAGAAAGTCTGAAACAACTTTGTAGTGAGAGAAAGAGAGAATTTTGGCGTTTGGTTGCTGAGAAAAACATAGAGGATTTTGGGTTTTCTTTCTACTTGGCATTTTCTCTTGTAAACGTTCTGGGTAATTTTTTCTTGGGTTATTTTCGTGTGTACTGAGATTCTCTCTGGGTTTGTGAGCTATGAAGGTGTAATCTTTGATCTAATAGTGGAAGAGCTTCTTGTGAGAGAGCTCAACGGGGACATAGGACAATTTTTGTCCGAACCTCGATAAAACTTTATTGTGTTGATTGTGTTTTTTCTCGTTCAGATTTTTGAGTCTTGTGTTGGTTTCAACCCAACAGCCATCATCTTTTTTTACAGATTAAAAGCGGATATATTATATTTCAATAGGGGAAGTAAATGTCACCCCTTTTGACCCAATTTCAATTTCTTCCCTTGGCACTTTTTTTTTTTTTTTGGCATCTCAATCCTTAAAAGCTTTCGTAAGAGTGTAATGTCCAGTTGGTCCTAATTTGGATCCTTGATGTTTGTAATCTCAGCATTTCATTTAAGTTACTAGCCATAAGAGAGAACCCAGGTAGTTTGTTCACTTTGAATCGTTGGAAGATTCCATTAATGCACGTTTGTTAGCTTGGAACTTGCATGTCATGCTTGATATAATCAAGTGATGATTGACTATTAAAGCGGTAAGCAAAAGGGTTGTTAAAGTTGATGTTTGAGTTTGCGATTTCAGGTTTGGTATTGCTTGACTTGATCTACCGCAGCAAGGCCAATTATTTCCTATAGTGCTAAAAAAAATTGGTTACTAACTAGTTATGACTTCGGAGTAAGAAACTTTTCCCTGGTTTGCTCGTTATGATCTGAATTTCACAATGGTTTGCACGTATAATTGACATTTAAATAACTCTAAACGGTCATTGCAGCATCTCAGTTCTTGTGGTCTATGCTTATCTGCACAAACAATATCCAGAACTTCACATAATTGTGTCTCCAAAATGGGAAATAGTGCTAGGTGACTTGTGAACATTTCCTATTAGCAAATATGACCAATACGCGACGAGGAGTAACACCACTAACTCTGTTATCAACTTATTTGTGGTAAGCAACCTTTTCATTACAAGAATATTATGCCCTCATTTCTTTGTTAGGACTTGGGAGATAATATTGTCGTAATTGCTGTCTTGCTACTAATTTCAAGAATAATTCTTGCCCCAACTTTTACAAGGGAAAGAAAATAGGACGGAAGGAAAATACACAAGTGTTGGTAATTGGAATCTGATTATCCAACTCACTATCATCTCAATATAACATAAGCCAGTTTGATAATGCTTTTCCGACAGCCAAAATAACTTATTCCAGTGATTTCAAACCCAAATTGTGTCGGATAAAAATTGTAAAAAGCAATTCTTTAAGAATTTCACCACAATCCACAGCTAAAAGGAGAAGCTTCCCGAAGGCAGCTAAAGACTAAAGTATAGAACCAAACTCATTGGTCATGAAATGTATCTAATCTAACAAATAAAAACATAAGACGGAGTATTATAAATATTCATAATTTTTTTTTAAAAAAGAGTATCATAGAATTAGAAAATCATAAGAAAAGAAGAGAGCCCTAAAATCACCAAGAACCACCTCCGGCCAAAACGTTGGTGCGACGAAGAAGCAGCGTCATTACACAAGTTGAATCCGTACCAAATATCGCCTGGAATAAAAGTGTTGTAGTAGAAAGTGACAGCCTTGGAATTATAGCCGTAGATCTTCACACTCTCCGGCTTCCAACCATCAGGACCGGTTCTGTAGAGATAAACATAACAGATTTGGTACGCACACGGTCCGTTTATCTGATACGTATCAGAAGAACACCGCTCGAAAGCTCTTGTCGACGGATCATCCAGCCTCGGTGCGTAGATCTGATTTCCAATTTCAATTATTTAGAATTAAAAAGAAAATTGAAATCTTTAGCAAAAGAAAATAATAACACAAAATAAATAAATAAAACCTGATTGCCATAAGCATCTCCAAAAGAGATACTTATCTCGTCCCTTGTGTATCCAGTTGAGGAACAGCTTGTGGTTATTATGACGTTATAAGAGCAGGTCCTAGCATTCTTTTACCCAGAAAATTGGAGGAAACAAAAATCAATTGACCTTAAAAAAAAAATAAAAATAAAAAAGGCGAAAGAAAGAAACGTTTTTTTTTTTGGGGAACAAAATTGAGATACCTGTACAGAGCTGATGTTGAAAGACTTTGCAGGTTGAGGCTGTATAATGCTTAATTTGGCTTCTGAAAGGGCGAAGAAGAAGGCGAATAGGAGCAGAAGATAGAGTCCTTTGATCATTTTTAACAGTAAGACGCTTTTTTTTTTTTTTTTGGATTTAAACAGGAAGAAAATAGTTGAAAGAGTGAGAGAGAAAAAAGACTTGGAGTAAAAGAGAAGATTGTGGGTTTTTTTTATTTTTTTATTTTTTGAGAAAGAGAAGATTGTGGATTTGTGATCTGCTTCGGAGTAAGACAAAAGTTTAGGTGGACCGTCGACGGCCGCTGATTGCTGGAACAGCCAAGGGCGTACAACGCCACAGAACTCGATGATTGCCACATATATGTTTGACACGTTAAGGTATCAAAGCGAAATAATGACGACAATATAGGAATAAAAAGGCAAATATAAAATATAAAATAAAATGACAAGAAATAAACACAATAAATTTGCAAACGACAAAAATGTTCAAAACGACCGCAATGTCAAAACAACAGGAAACTTAAAGACGACATCAAATGCGAAACGACATATTACGTTTGAAACGAGGCCAAGAGAACAATCAACATAAGCCTTCGAATATACTGCAAGGTTAAAACAAGATTTAAAGGGGGACAAATAGAAAGAAAGAAACATGGTTAAAAAACTTAGAAAGAAAAAAGTGGGAAAAAATACAAGAGAATTGTCCAAAAAAATTCGAAATGATTACAGATTTGGCGGACAGTAAGGTATGAACGACATGAACATGCAACAAACGACAACGACTAGCAAACAACACGCCTGAAAGCAAATGAAACTTGGAAAACGAAAGGAAACGACGGGAAAATTAAAAACAATGGATTTTGAAAGTACAGACAAATTGAAAATGATAGCAACGATAGAAAACCAAAGTTGAGTAATATAGACATATAATTTTCAGATTTATACACAGAAAAACAAATCAAAAATCATCTTCCTTCTACTTTAACACCAAATTCGGGAAATTAGTACTTTTTACATTCCTGTTTTACAGGGGGGGAAAAAAACCTCAAAAAGTGGGGAAAAATCCAATATACGTATGCTTTTCGTTCACATTTTCCCTACTCATAATTTATCGGACCTTTACATTTTCTTTTTCTCCTCGCCCCTTGCAGACATATATTTTGGTATCACCTTGAATATCTCAATTTGTGATATTAAGCATAATTAAGAAGATAACAAGCCCAGAATTGTGGAGGAACAAAACAATCACAGTGCTCCATAGTCCATTCGCCAAAACAAGAAACAGAATGGCCTTATGTTATGCCCACTTTGTACGAAACATTTTCTTATTTCAATCTTGGAAATGGAAAAAATCTTGTCCTTGACATTTTCCTCGCATCTTCCTAAAACGTGAGTTGACAGTAGGAGCGTGCAACCTTTTTACTATACTTTATATGCAAAAAAGAAATTATGCCTCTAAATGTTTTAAAAAAAAAAATCACTTTCAGGTCACCGTTTTTTTTTTGGATTGTTATAATACGAGGAACTTGCCAGCGTAGGGACAAAAGAATTGCCTTGTTGATGTAACGTGTATAGATTAGAAACGTGTATAGATTAGAAACAACTCATTGTCATATTACACATATTCATTTAAAATTTAAATGGGTTTGTTGTCATCAATGAACCTGAAAACCAAAACTGGGCTATGGCAAATGGCAAGAGCGGGGGAAAAAAAAAATTGTCATGAGTTTCAAAATATATATATATATATATATAGACATAAGCCTCAACATTAAGACATATTTTCTATCCTCTTGAGGCACATGGCGGAAGTTAATGAGTGAAAAGGATTGGATAACTAGTAGGAGGAAATATGGCCCGTTTATTTTACCAATTTAAGTTTAGAATTTGAGTCTTATTAAGTTATTACAGTAAAAAACTTTTAAAAACAGTCACATCTAACTTTTTTGTTATAGTAAAAAGCTCTCACATGAAGTCACATCTAACTTTTTTACTACAGTAAAGGCTCTCATATGAAGTCGCATCTCAACTCGAATCAACAAATTAAACAAGCCTATAATTTTAAATTATATTTTTAGAAATCAACCCAGCTATGCTTTTTTTTTTCCTTTCCTTTATACGAAATATCCCTGTTATTCCTCTAAAAAAAAAAAAAAAAGAATTCCCCCTTATTGTTTTATAATTGATAATTGATTCTCCCCTTATTTGGTTCTTACACAGACTTGGGCGCCATAACAAGCGCGCACATAATTCCCCCCTTATTGTTCCTTTGAGGATTAGTTCTAATTAGCATCCACATTGACATACAAATAATAGGGGTCATTCTTTTGCATATTATATGATGGTTATCTTATGATTTATGGTGAAAAAAGAAGTCAGCGGTCAAAACCAAGGTCAACGTCCACCAAATCAAAAACGATATAATTTTAACCATTAATTTTGTTAGATCATTGTTCTTTCCTATTTTGATGTTAAAATTAGGAAATACATTTGAGAACACCTAAACCTAATGTTATAACACAAGGCCGTCATTTGTCAACCAAAATTTCAAAATTAACACGATGTTGACATTTCGAATAATTGATACGAGTATGGAAATAATATATTCACCAAAAACAAGCATGGAAGTAATATAAAAAATGTTATCCAATTCATTACTCGTGTCATAAATATTTTTCCATTTTGCTCCTTTCCTTCGGGGACAGGTGAAAGGGGGCTGGCTGACAACTAATAAGTAATAAACCTAGCGATCAAGGGCAGAATCGTCGTATCATAAATTTTCTCGGCTCAATTATTTTAAACGAGACCGGTTATTTGGTTCTTACACAGACTTGGGCGCCATAACAATTGGGCGCCATAACAAGCGCGCACACTCTCTCACACTTTGCCAAACGAAATTCTCGCCGTTGGTTCACTCACGCCCGCACAACACAGAAAAGAAAGGTAACATGTGTATGTATGTGTGTGTGTGTGTGTGTATATATATATATATATAAATATAACGAAAAAGTTCCCGTACTTTCTCTCTCTCCGGTTTTTCTTTTTCACGGGGAGAAGTTTGGTTTGGAGGGAGAAAGTTTGGAGATGAAATCAATGGAGTTTTGAGGGCTAATGGTGACAACTTTCTCTTTCTCTCTCGGTTCCCGAGAAAGAGAGAGAAAGTGAGGGAAAATCGGAGGGAATCAAAAGCAGTTGTTCTCGTTGTTGTTTTGTTTTGGCTTATTCGCCAGTAAAACCAGAGCTGTCTCTGTTTTACGAGAAATCAAGCACGAGAGCGAAAGAGAGAGGGAGAGAGAGGAAGAAGAATTTTCCGAGAGAAACGAAATAAAGATTACAATCAATACTGATCGTGTTGTTCTTCCGTTCTCTCAGGCGTCGCGTTGTTGACGGAGAGAAATGGATGGAGAAGAAGAATTGGAGGAGCTCGTTAGAGAAACGTACGCGGTCGAAGAAATCGACATGGATTACGAGTTTGACGCTGCAAGGTTCTACGATTTCAGTCGAGTTGAGACGGATTGCGAGGCCAGAGAAGCCGAACGCTGGCTTGAATCCTATGGAAATTATCCACCTTCTCGTAAGCTTTTCCGATAATCCTTTTTCTCTGCTTCAAAATCGTTATTTCCCATCGTCATAGTTTCGACGTCCGTTTCTCTCTCTTTTGTCAAGGTTTCTGAAACGAAATCGTTTGAAGAACAAGTGAAAACGAGTTTTTTATTCAAAGAATTTGTTAGTTACTAATTTGATGGTAAAGTGTCCATTGGTCAGAGTAGTAACTGTTTATCATAAGATTGCAATCTACGGAGAGATTAAATTATAATTCTCTTGCATAATTTATAACTTTTTTATATCTAACTCTTTTGTCTTTTCTGATACTAATGAATGTTTAGCTTTCATCATAAAATTGAAGTGGCGAAAAGGCGTTCCTACTGGAGTTGTGAACACGTCTGCTCTGTCCAAAGACGTTGAAGACGTGAATGCGAATGACAGAGGTACGTTTCATTTTTACACCGTTTTCGTGGTTCATTTGAATATTTTATTGATTTTCAGATATTTTCTTTTTTTTTGTTTGTTTATGTATTATTACTTTCTAAATTTATTTGAAATGTGATATATCTACAGAATTAAATAATCACGTTACGCAAGATATTATTTCACAATCAAAAGCCAAGTCCCCAGTGAAATCATCTCTATTAAGGAGTTCAACTCTAATGAAGCCCACAGCAAGTCATTTAGCTAAACTTGACCAACTTCATCTTGTTCAGTCCATCCGCTCATTGAGGTGCTTTTCTTGTTTCCTTTCAAGCACCTTTTTGTTTTAGTATGTTATTTATGAAAAATTAAGTTTTGTTTTTTTTGTTTTTTTTCCTTCACTCCTGTTATTCATTTCCTTGTTCTTCGTCCTCTAGGCTTAAGAACAAATTAGGTAACATTGATGACAAGAGTTCGCAGAATTCTTCAGTTACTGATGACCTGGCTACTAAAAGACAAAAGTTGGAAGCTGGTTATTTAAGCAAGGTGACTTTGGCATCCTTAATCACTGATTCAGTTTATTGCAATTCGAAATTTACTGTTTCTGCTTTGCTATACTTTGTTTTATTTTGTGAGATGTGTAAAAAATGTGGTTATGATTTTGCACAAGTAGGACGCGCAACTGAAGCATCAAGCTCTTTTGTTACACAAGGTGCCTAAACAGGTAATTTTCTTATCGTAAGAAATATGCTGATATGTTTGATAAGAAGATTAATAAAGCTGTATTTTGAGCCATATTACCTTGCTACTTAGTTTTGGTCTTTCGCGGAAATATCGTTGCAATTATTAAGATCTCAAATTAAAATTTTATTTCCAGGTAGCAAATGCTAGACTTAAAACTACTACTCCCAGAGAACCTGATCTCGAAACAGCACATAGGGCAGAAAGACGTTGGTAGGTTAACTTCTTGCCAATTAGTAAATATTTATCATAGAGTTTGCCTTGGAAATGTAAATGAATGATGCCACATTATGCGTTTTGATTTCAGGTATAAGGTTAATGCAAAGTCAGGTGAAGAAGCAAAACCAAATGCCCGTGCCTTTAAGGCTTATCCCTTGAACAGAAAAGTTTGTACTTGCAGTTAACATTGCCTTTTTTTTATTATTATTATTGTCGATTCTTATTTGTTGATTAAATTTGGAGAAAAATTTGAGGATGATAGCTCAATGGACTCTCATGGGTTTTGCAGATTCTTAAGTCTCCTTCATTGCCCCTCACTAGGCGAAGCAAACCACACTTGCCAGAGTTTCAAGTAATTAACGATTCCCTTTTCATAAATGCTTTCTTGTAACGGATTAAACGGAAGAAATTGACTTTGGCAACATGCGAGTGCGTTTTCTTATTTATTTATGTGTTTATTTTTTGCTTATTTATTTCCTTGTTTAATTACTTTTTCAGGTATTTCGACTGAAGACATCGGAGAGAACTATGCAAAACAAGTGTAATAATGTACTTCCATACACTTGCTTCTTTTAATTATCTTTCAATGAGAGAATGTTTAGTAGTAAAACACAAAACCAAAAGAAAGTATTCCTTTTTTTTTTTTTTGCATCTATCCATCATACACGTATAGTTGTATTCGTGATCTTATTTGATCCATTCTTTGGCTAATAATATCATTATTGCAGGAGCCAAGTATGCCTTGTCAGAGTTCTTCTTTTCAAAACGAAAACACAGAATACAAAAGGTAATTACCCCTGATTCGTGTTTTTCTACGTTACAGTTTAATACTGTAGACAACTTGACATGATATGGTAACGTCGACCGTATGAAAAGTCTTTTTTTTTTTTTTGTCCTCTATATTTTTGTATTTTCTTTCGTTTTTCACAAACTAGTCTTGCTGAAAAATTGCCTAGTTTAGTTTCGTATTAGACTACTGTTTGGTCCAAGAAATCTCTGCATTGTTTCTTTAGCTAAAAACATGAAGTAATATCAACATTTCCATTTCAAGCAAAAAAGAAAGAAAAGAAGTCTCGTTTTGTTTAGTAGAATTGTCCTTCTTGTGATGTTTGTACAAATGAGTTCTTTTTGCCTTTTCCAGAGTAGGTTGTTAATATCAGTACTCCTTTTCATTTACTATTTTGCCAGATCGAACTCCGGCAAAAGCTTCAGCCAAACGGTCTACAACTTCAAAGCGCGCACTCCTTATAAAATGGTGGTTTAACTATTAGCGCATTACAGGCTTCTCTGCTGAGTTTTGTGGCATCACTTTGTTGGGGCAAAGCTTTTCTTAAGCATTTTCTACCTGTTGCAGAAACTTTCAAGAAATGGAAAAGTCCCTCTTGCTCAAAAAGTTAAACAGGCAACGACAGTCACAAGTTTGGTAAACCTTTACTATGCTTCTTGCTGTTTGCTTAGTTTTGCAGGAGCGTGTTCTTTTGTTGACATTTATTTTTCAGTTTTATATCATCCGTTTTCATTTTCTTTTAGGGGCTCAATTTTTCAACTGATAGGAGGATTCAAGATGAGCTGCCGATACGTTTATTCAGTAAGGTATGACATGAAATACTGCGATATATCTACACATACCTCCCTCAACAGTTCATTTCTGTGTTCCCCACATTTGTCCAAATTTTTGGCAGCTTTGTATTACATCCGGAACCCAACAAAATACAAAAACTCGGGCAACAAATCCTTTGCCTATAGAGGTTTTTTTCTTTGAACATTTGTTTTTGCCAAGATTAGACGCTTATTTTTACTTTATATCTCTAGCTAATGCATGATTGCTTTCTAATTGAATAAAGGCCCCAAAGGAGAGAACGCCAAGCTCCTTTCAAGAACAGGAGGTAATCTAATTACTTTAATTTTCCTCTTTATGGTCTTTTTTTTCCCCCTTTTTTTAACTGTAATTTTACTTATGGTTTTAAACGTTTTAAGTTGTAGATGATCAATGTTGTAAAAGAAAGATCCCAGAGGTTACTAGGTGGCAAGAATTTTGAGTATTGGACGCAATCACAAGATTCCCGAATTACAACTGTACATTGACAGGTAACCGTTGAACACTATATCCAAAGACATGATTCATTAAGTTGGTTATTTTCTGTTTGCATGTTATCTTTTGTGGTAAATAACCCTTTTTTCTTTATCGTTTCCTTTTTGTTTTTAATCCGCATGCAAAGTACTCTGTAAATGCATTCAGAAGTAGGAAAAGAAACGGATTACAAAAAAAAAAAAAAAAAAAGAACGTTTAGATGGCAGGTTTCATACTGGTTCGGAACTTTAAAATTCTGGGTTTCCTTTGCCGCTATTGATTATAAACATTGACGTATATATTCTAGTTCCTTCCATCACAAATGAAGCATTAATAAGTTCTAAACACATGTCATCATCTTTCTAGTGTTGAAGTTGCAACTCATCTCATGTTTTTTCTCCTTTTATATTCAATGCCACAGGACATGTCATCATCTTTCTAGTGTTGAAGTTGCAACTCATCTCATGTTTTTTCTCCTTTTATATTCAATGCCACAGGAGCCTTGGCATACGATAAGAACCCGATAGCAAATGAAGTCGCCTGTGTTGGGACTTTGGCTTAGTTTGGTATTGTTTTTTCCTTCTAAAATCAACTTCTGCTTGTAGCGGAAGTTGATTTTAGTGTTTGGTAAATCTCTTCAAAAGTACTTTTTGAAGAATTTTTTAAGAATTTACAGTCAAAATCAGAAACAACCTAAAAACAATTTTAGTTTTTAGATTGTGCGAGAATTAACATAGTACAATTAATAAAACTTTTATAATACCCATAATACCCCTAATGAAATTTAAAATTTACATTCTTTTCAATCTAAAATTCATACTCGTAATATAATATAATATAATAGTAATATTGTAACAAATAATACCATAATTATATTAATAACTCTAATATTATTATTATTGACGGTGTTTTTCTGACAACTCATAATTATCTCTCCCAAAAACACTCACGGTTCAATTAAGGATTAAGACTGAAAAATAATGTAAAGGAGACAACAATTTTATAGTAGTTCGGCAATAACTCCCTAATCCACTTGTGTATGCATTAATATTTCAGTCGATTACAAGCTTTCTCTTAGTAATGAAATGGTGTCTAACCCCTTTCTGGGTTCTTTTAGCTCTATTTATAGGCAGTTACAAAAAACTAAGCCTTCTCCGTTCCCAAGGAGGAAGCCATCTTCCATCCTCGATCTTCGGGAGGGTAGGTGAGTTTTCATGATGACAATCTCAGGAAATGCGGCTGACCCCTCTCATTTGCCGCACGATCTACTGATTCCTGCAGTAGCCGTTGGATCGATGCTTCCTTCCCCGAGTTGACAAGACCGCTGACGGGGTTGACTCGGCGGGATGCCTCGATGCAGTGGCTCTTAGAGGTCGAGTCACTATCCTCGACGCCTCTCTCCACGTGTGATCTCTCAGCGCAGAGGGCACCTTAGCTACAGCCGCTCCTTCGACGCCAGTGACCGATTCAGGACGGGGAGTCCTCAGCGCCTGGCATCGAGAGAGTGGTCGATTCCTCGACCATGGCGTAACAATTATTTTATCATATATTATGATATTATAATTATATTATAATTATTTTAATAATATAATATTATAATTATAATATAATATTGTAATTATTATTTTATAATATATTATATATTATATTGTATTAATATAATTATATAAATTTGTTCAATATAATATATTAATGATTATATAATATAATATATTATATTATAATATGATATAGTTGTAATTTTTAATTATATTATAATTGAAATATTTCTTATGTAATATTATAATATGTTTTATAATATTGTTATTATATTAATCATTTTAATAATGTTATTATATTCTATATCATAATTATATAATATGTTATTTAATAATAATTTTATTATATTATATTAAATATAATAATAAATATATATTATATTGTAATTAATATATTATATTATAGTATAATATAATATACTCGTTATTTTTAATTATTTCAGTTATTATTTTAACAATATTATTATATTATATATCACATTTATATAATATATTATATAATAATAGTTTTTTTGTATTATATTAAATATAATAATAAATATAATATTGTAATTATATATATTATTATAATATAATATAATATAGTCCTAATTTTTAACTATTCACAGCAATTTAACATCATAATTTACTTAACGCTGTTACACTGATTTTAAAACTAACTACTATAATTATAATTTACCAAACACTCAACTGTTTTTTATAATAGCTATTTCTTTTTTCAGTACAGCTAAAAATAATTTTTTCAAAATCTACAACTTTATCAAACTAAACCATTGTCAAGTTCATGCTTTGTCGATTCATTTGACGTTAGTAAGATGCCATCTCTTGGCTTGCACATTTTAAACCGCAAACATGGTTACCACCACACGTAGGAGCTTGATTGAGCAGGTGGTTTCCTAAAAGTAGTACAAACCAGCATTGATATACCAATTTCAAGGAAACGCAAGATAAAATAGCATATCGCTGCCACTTGTTAAAAGTACCTTTAAGCTGAGTATTGAAATAGGAGATATAGAATACAGAATTATACATGACTCTCCTAATGTCCCAGAGAAATGTAATCAGAACCATTGATTCTCCTAATGCCCAAGTAACGTCATCAGAGCCATTGATTCCTAATGTCACTTGGCTGATGAAACATTTACTCTATCCGAATCTTTTCTAAAACTACCGGATTATAGTAGGCAACTAGCAATCATTGCATTGCATCAGATCAAAATCCTAACAGCACTTTGCACCAAACATGGCACCAAATCATTGTAACTAACGGGTTCCTGTTAGTAATTACTACAAAAGGGTAAAACGAAAAACTGTAGTCGGGTGGTTCTAGTGGTTCTTGAACTTCATCAGAGGGTGTTCTTCGATATAACTTCACCAAATCGAACAAACCACTGGGCGTCAGATGAGTTGTTCTCCTGCTGCCGAGCAAGTGGCTGCATAACTTTTGGCTGCTGCCCCCCCTTGTCAACAACAAATTTGGCGTAGTCGATTGTCTTTGGAGTGATTGGACAAGGTTTTATGGCAGGCGCAGGAAGGAGAGAGACCAAGACCCTTGCGATTTCATGCATAGTTGGTCTTTCGCTTGGATTCCTCTTCGTGCATAGCAGAGCAAGTTGGAAGGTCTTCCTAACATGTGCCAAGTCCATGCAGGTCACCGAAACCTCAGGGTCAACAGCTTCCATTACCGTATTGTTATCAGCCTTGGACAGTATCTGGAAGAAAAAGGATCATCGCAGAAGCAAAATCAACAAATTAACAAAGCCAACTTAAATTACCAGGCATCCTAAGACTAAAACTAAATAACTTCAAGTACTCTTGTGCGTGTATAAACAGATGTGTTGAGAAAATACCAGTTGATGCAAGTTGGACTCGTTGTCCACAGCTTTCTTCCCTGTTAGTAGCTCCAAGAGCACAATGCCAAAGCTGTATACATCAGACTTTTCATTGAGCCGAGAAGTACGAGCATATTCAGGATCAATATAGCCGATTGTTCCAAGAACATAAGTTGAGGCATGAGTTTTCGCAGTTGGAATGGATTTGGCAATGCCAAAATCAGATAGATGAGCCTCAAAATTCTCATCCAGCAAGATGTTTGAGGACTTCACGTCCCTGTGAATAATTCGGGGGTTACAATCATGGTGAAGATAAGAAAGTCCCTGGGCAGCACCAACAGCTATCCTCAAGCGTGTTTCCCAATCAAGTTTAACCTTTTTTGATGGTCCTGCAATTAAATATACACCAAAAGCAATTAGCAAACATAAAACCTCATAAACAGTGAACATCATACTATGGGTTAAAATATGTTAAGAGCAAGCTAACTAACCATGAAGCAAATCCCAAAGAGATCCATTCTCCATATAGTCGTAGAAAAGCAAATTCCCAAACAGAGATAGTGAATAACCATGCAAACTAACAATATTTCGATGTCTGATGCTGCCAATGGTTTCAAGTTCCGTCTCAAACTCCCGCAAGTTCTGCGGATGTTGATTGTAGAGTCGCTTAATTGCAATTGGTCGGGAATTCTTTAAAACACACTTGTACACCGTGCTGGAAGCACCATAACCAATGATATACTTCTCACTAAAATTCTCAGTGATTCTCATTATATCATCAAATGTGTGAATAGCCATGTCCATGTGAAGAATAACAAGTTTGGAGGAACCTGAAAACAGTACAATATCAGTGAGATATGATGACCTAATACCGAAAGCTTCCTACAAAACTAAGAAAAAGAATAGAAAAACGTGCCTTGACTAGTCTTGCTGGATCCCATAATCATTTCATTTGGCTTATGAGATTTGTATACTGCAACTATTACCATGGATAGCAAAGTGATGAACCCCAAAGCCATACATACAACTGCAGCTCGGGAGAATAGTGCTGGGTAGCAATAATGAGGATGACAAGTCAGCAATTATTAAGGATTAGGAAAGGCCTAGACCATATAGACAGTCAACCAGATCCCATAAATATTCATGAGAATACCTTTGGATTTTGGCATCTCAGATCTGCATATTGATCCTAACCAGTTGCCACACAAAAATGGATTTCCAATGAAGCTGACATAACAACAGACAATGCACATAAATAAAAATACAAATTAGGACCAGTAACAGGTGACAAATTAGGACCAGTAACAGGTGACGTGGGGAGCATTTTGCTTGTTTTATCCTCTAATACCTGTCTGGTGAAAATCGTGAAAAGTTTCTCATAGGTGGTACAACTCCAGATAAGTTGTTGTATGATACGTTCCTAAGGCAACCAAGGAGAAGCGTTAATTAAGACCTTACACAAGCATGAATAAACATGGAAAAATAATTAAGAAAAAAAAAACTTACAAAGTGGCAAGACTGAAACAGTTGGCAAGTTGACCAGGTATCTCCCCATGCAAGTTGTTGTTGTTAAGTATCCTGTCATTAAGTTAGAATAAAGCAACAGAATTAAGATAATATCTTAAAAATGGTAACTGAGTAGGAAAAAAAAAACTAGGAAGTAGGAACGTGAACTTACAAAGATACAATATTCTGCAATTGGCCCAATTCCATGGGAATGCCACCAGAGAGGTTGTTCAAAGATATATCACTGTCGAAGTGGACATACATTATGTCAAAATACAGATAAAATTATTGTTGGATAATATTGGGTGATGACACAGTCAACAGACAGCCAAGAAGCACTCACATAATCTGTATACTTCTGAGGTTCCCAAATTCTGCTGGCAGTTGACCATCAAGATGATTGCTACTCAAATTACTGCAAGCACGTATGGCCATCAAAATTGTGTTCAATGATGCAAGTTAAATCAGCACAGAAACCAAATAATAAAAGCTTACAGGGTGAGAAGGTGTTCTAAATCACCAACAGAAGCCGGAACTGGCCCTGAGAAATTGTTGCTGGAGAGATCCCTAAGAGATGATGACAATTCAATTAATCTCTGAAATCCAAAATAAACAGTTTCTGGTAAAATATCAAAGGAACATACAAAGTATCAAGGTTAATAATGTGCCCCAGCTCCATAGGAATGCGCCCCTTAAAGTTGTTATCAGAAAGATTCCTGAATGATCAATTAATTTAGCTCCATTAAAAAAAAAAAAAAGGAGAGATAGACTCAAATGAACAGTAGAAACAACTCAAGAGTCAGGACATCAAAACTTACAAATAAGTCAAACTCTCCAAATCCCGGAACCCCAAAGGAATTGATCCACTCAAGCGATTGCCATGAACATTGCTTTTTCCAAAATATAAAAATCAGATTTAGTTCAGTATATATGCATAAAAACACCCATAGAAATTTATGCGGAAATCAAAAGCCAGATTAACCTACAATTGATTTAGAGCTGTGCAGGAACTGATGTTATGTGGAATTGGACCTTCAAGATCATTATTGGAAAGATTCCTAACAGACAAGATGCAAGTTAATCCATATTCCATAGTACTAATGGAAGGATGACACAACTTGAAAAAAGCAGTTAAAACTCACAATTCAAACAATTGCTCGAGCTTCCTAGCAGGAATTTTTCCAACCACTTGGTTGTCATTTAGTTGCCTGCAATTAATTCATTTAGTATCTTCTCATACAAGGAACTATAAAATATTAAAAAAATATTGTCAAGTTATGCTCACAAGTAGCTCAGTTTTGACATATTGCCGAGCTCAGGAGGTATTGGCCCAGTCAACTTGTTGCCATGAAGGTACCTAGTAAGACAAGTGAATCTAGTAAGACGCAAGGCTGAAGCAAAAAATTAAGGCTACAGTTATTCCCCTAGATAATAGAACTCACAGCTTCCCAGTGTAGGATAAATTGCCGAGGATTGCAGGGATTGGCCCAACTAGTTCATTCTCACTCAAATCCCTGAAACGAAAAGAAAAGCCAAAAGTAAAATCGAGGCGCAGCAAGAACAGATAGTGCCCCAAATGGTGCGGGCTGGGACTAAATTTGTCTCCAAAGTTAAAGGAAAAGTTCACTTACAGAACAGCAAGGGCCTGCATTAAACCAATCACCTCAGGTATCTTTCCAGTCAGCCTATTTCCTTGAAGAGACCTAAAAATTTAATAATCATTAATAGGATGAAAATATATACACTTGTTCACCTTTATATAAATCTAGAGATAATGTGATATCTTAGATCGACAAAATCCCAGAGTTTTAAAGAGGAAAGCTTACAATGTAGCTACTTGTAGAAATCCAATGTTATATGGAATTTCGCCAGTGATCTGATTGTAGGAAATATCCCTAAAATCAACACAATATATGAAATCAGAAGTGAAACGTATCTAAAAAACTCATCAAAAATATAAAAAAAATAAAAAGTCAATAGAGAACACGTACAGTATTTCAAAACTTGTACAGTTCCCAATGTTTTCAGGAATTGGACCAGTTATATTGTTACCCCTAACATCACTGTAAATAATATCAAGAAAATTTCCGGGTCAAAAAAAATCGAGCTGGGAAAGAAATCATGCAGAGACAACAGAAAACTATAGCATAGGAGTTACAATTACTCACAAATACCACAAGCCTGTTAACTGACACATATCGGGGGATAGTGTTCCAGTCAAAGAGTTGCCACGTAAACCCCTACAACGAGGAAGAAGATACTTCAAAATTGGAATAGATCATTGTAAACAACAGGAATCAACCGTCAAGCAAACAAATACATAGAACACTAAACCAAGCAAATTAAGTAAACAATCTGCACAGAGAAATGCACTCACAAGTACTGAAGCACTTCATTCCAGTAGAGCAATCTTGGTATCTCACCAGTAAGCTGGTTACGAGCAAGATCACTAACAAAAGCGAGGCCAGGAAGATTATCAGCAGACGCCAACACAACATCAATGGACATAATATGAAAAACCCAAACGATTAAAAATCCATTACATTAAAATAGCACGAAATCTTAGTGAACTGCAACTCAAGCTAAATGGAAAAGAAACGACTCACAGAGTCTTTAGATTAGGAATCTGGGAGAGGGTTGACGGAATTGGACCAGTCAACTGATTGTTTTTCAAGTTCCTGCAAGATCACAACAGGCTCAACATATGTCAAAAATATCCATTTGTTTTTCTTCATTGCCCAAGGAAATGTGGTAAATACAACATTACAAATATACACACAAGTAAAACTTACAGAAACTCAAGTTGCTTCAGCTTTGACACGGAAAAAGGTACGTCTCCATACAACAGATTATCAGAAAAGTCCCTGCATTCAGAAGACGAATCACTAGTTATTTGTTAAAAAAAACAGTATAGAATCCTAAAAAATCCAATTTAGACAAGCAAAAGGCTTTCAAAAAAATTACACGTGCATCAGAGAAGCACAGTCTCCAATCTCGTCCGGGATTTGGCCCGTCAAGGCATTCCCCTGCAAGTCCCTGCCAGATTTTAACACCAAAAACCTCATCAATTACCAAAAAGACTTCAATGGCGAGAAAGAAATATATAGACACAGAAATATAGCATACATGGACTGTAAGCTTCTCAAATCTCCAATGGCCGGAGAAATCTCCCCTCCCAGGTTCAGATTCGACAGATTCCTTCGAACAAGAAATCAAAAAAAAAAAATGTCAATAACGACCTGAATGCAATAGAAGGCATTAAAGGATTAGTCTCGAAAGAAGCAACGGAAAAGGAGAGAGACTCACAGAGAAACAACGGAGAGGCTGACATTGTCGCAGATGACGCCACGCCATGAGCAGAAATCGCCGTCGTGGTCGTCGTTCCAGCCGAGAAGCACGTTCGCAACGTTGCTGAAGGAGGCCTTAATCGCCATTAAGGCTTTCCCTGCAAAATATTCCTTTATTAACTAACAAGTTATCACACTAATAATTAGTAACCAAGAACAGTCGGATTAGCCTCATACAACATCCTCGTTGAGGTTATTCCGTGTTTGTTGATGAGATGAAAAATAATAATTAATATTAATAATTATATTAGAAAAACTAAATGTTTTACATGAGAAAAATCTGAAGCACTTGAAACTTTATTTTGGCTGGAAAAAGAGCAAACGGAAGTTTAACACGAGAGTGGAATGGTTAAAAACCGCAGAGAGCTTAGAAATGTTCCCAAAAAGGGAAAAGACCAATGATGATAAGAATTAAAAAAGAGGAAGAAGGAAAAGAATCTCAAGGAAAAAGACGAAGAGAGAAACGACGAGTTTGATACCTTCGTCGTTTAGAGGCGAAGCGATGGGAGTTAGAAGGAGAAGTAGTGCCATTACGACGAGGAAATTGGTATCCTTCTTTCTCCATTGCAAGAACGCGTTCTCCTCCATAGGAAACCCAGAAGTTGATAAAAAAAGGAAAAACAAAAATGAAAATGCAGTGAAGAACGGAGACGCAGATGAGAGAGTAGAGATAATGGCGATGGTCTCGCAGCTAGAGAGAGAGAGAGAGAGAGAGAGAGAGTATTGAAGAACAGGCGTTTGGCGTGAACTGTAAGGCAGAAACTGAGCGAGAGTGTTATGAAGAGAGAGAAAGAGGGAAATAGTGTACGGGCAGAGAAAGAGAGAGAGAGGTGAGAGAAGATAGAGATGGCTAGTAGGAGGCGACAGACAGGGAAGCTAGAGAGAGAAAGAGGAGAGAGAGAGAGGGGTAAACGGCGGTGAAGCGACGTTAGTGATTTGAGAAAGAGAAGACGGTCAGGGGGCCTCAGGCTGAGCCAGCGGCCGTCATTTTCGTACTAAGCGGTTTCCCAAAGCGTTTGCATGTTTCTTCCGCATCCGTTCTTGCCATCCTCCCCCACTCGCCTTTCCAAGAGCGTGGACGCCACTTTCCCTCTTGAAGCTTTAAAGGAATTTTCAGATTTTCTTTTATATTGTTTTAGATTAGATAGATTGCCGTGTTTTTTTTTTTAACTCATAAGTGAATGTTGTGTATTTTTCATATCATGCAATTTCGTTAGTAGGATAAGATAATGTTGGGATCCTTTTGTTCATTTTTAACTATTACATGAGTTTGCATCACTAACTCCAAATGATTGAAAATAGAGAAGCCACTCACATCATGAAAGGTTGACATATTATTTTTCAAACCCAACATACTTTCTCAATAGTGAAATTTCTGAAAAGAATAATTGAAGAATGACACATTTTCCGGTCAAAGAATTATTTTAGAATAACACATTTTCCGGTCAAAGAAAAGAAAACCAACTTCAAAAAAATTCTTTTTTTTTTTTCAAGTAAAAGTGTAGTCTTTTTTTCCTGCCATCCAGCTTTTGCATGGTCCTTTTTTATGCAAACATTTATTCACCAAAGAAGGTTTGAAAATGACGCGCTCTGAGGCGCGTAGAAATGTTGGTTTTGTACAAGAATAGGAGAAGAGAGAGTGTGCTTTAATACTGTGACAGCTAAGGAGGGAGCAGGAGCTTCATTGGAGGGTAAAACATACCAACGCCATTTTCTCTCCCTCTCTCTCTCTCTCCTCTTTTTTTTTTTTTTTCTTTTTTTCTTTTTTATGTCCTCAAGCGATCTTGGCCTTTCTTGTCCGCCTATGTTTTTCACTATACAAAAGCAAATAGATTTGTTTTTCAAAAATTTTCCCAAACGGCCGTAGAAAATCCTTTTTTGATATTCCTTCCCCTTTTGTGAAACAGACATGAAGAAGATCAAGAGCTTCCTTCCCAAGAAATCCACCGTTCAGCTTGCATGGTCCTTTCCAAGTTAGAAAGTCTAGAAACTCCACACATTTTGTCCAAACAGTTATTTTGTTCACTGGTTTTGGCAAAAAATAATAATAATAATAAAATACAAATAAAAAATGAACTTTTCTTGGAGTATATAAATAAATTTATTTTAGAGAATTTTTTCAATAAATTTAAAAAATAAATTATCATTAATTTTTTATTTTTTATCATTAAATATATATTAAAAATTATTTTTTTTATATATTTTTTTTTATTTGATACGATGTTAAGCAAATTTAACTGTAAAAAACTTATTCTAAAATATCCCAGCAGAAAAAGGTTCTTTATTTACTGCAAATGTACATGTTGCAAAAATTGACATTTGATAAGAGTTCGGACCGAAAGTCAAATAGTTATGAGCTGAAATTTTGTTGATACAAGTGTATTCAACTGTTTCAACAATAACTAGCAAAGCAAAGGTACATTCTACAACAAATAAAAAATAGTAAAGGTACAGAACAATAGGGATCCCTCCACCATACTTACTTCTGTGACTGTGTAAGCCCCCATTTATTTCACTTTATTTTAAAATTTAAATTTTATTATAGTAAAAAAATTTAAAAAATAATTACATTTAATTTTTTTATTATAATAAAAAGTTCTCACATAAAATTATATCTCAATTTAAATTAAAATTTTAAATCAACGAACTAAATTAAACGGGTCTTAAAATAATAACATAATTTCTTATGGAAAGTTTATTTTAAAGGTTCGTTTTTAATTTTAAATCATGATTTTTTATTTTTTACAATATTTTTTTTCTCACAACAAATTTAAATTTCAAAAATTAAAATTATGAATCATTATTCTGAACCTATAAACCAAACCTCTCCTTGATTCTCCATTACAACTTCTTAAATACTGGTTTATCTTCTATCAGCAATATACTCATTGTTATTACTTTACAAAAACCCGTTAGTCAATACGCAGATTATTTGTCCGAGAATATCTTGTCGTTAACTTATGTTTAATACAACACTTCGATAATTTATCCACACGTGACGTAATAATAAAATAAACTAGACTTCTTTTTACAGGCTGCTATTTCTATTAGCGGGTAAAATTCATCAAGTCAATTCACTTATTTTTCTATGTTAGTAAAATATCAATTCGATTGTGACACGTACGTTCCTTTGTTCGTTATGTTAATAGTGTCAATTTGATTTTAAACTAAATATATTTATAATAATTATATACTCGTTTATGTGTGGATTTCCAATGGTAGCGTCCTGCTATAATCTAAATTGTAATATTTTTTTTAAAAAAATATCTAAATTGTAATCTTTTATAATCAAGAAAATAATAAAATTACCATTCTAAAAAACGAAGTTTCCCAGTTGATTTTTTTCTTTGATGCTGTTGAGATATTTATATTTCCATGAACACCGTATTTTCATTTTACTAAGAATTTAAGCTTTTATCTAAACAGGTCAAAACCTGTTAAGACATATCAATTCACTCAATTAAGCTGGTTAAACACTTATATTATAATGATATTTAGATTGGTTCAGGACTTAAATTTCCGTCTTAAAAATATCAACTTATTAAATAAGGTAACTAAAGTCCTTAAAAATCAGTGTTATTTTTGTATTTTAACACTATGGGAGTATTCGGTCTTGTTTTAACCCTTTAAGATATTTTCATCACATCTTTCCACCACATGGTATTCTCGATAAGCCTTTAAATAAATAAAAAAATTTTTTTAATTTTAAAAAAAAAAAAAAAAAAAAAAAAAAAAAGTCACGTGAAGCAACAAAGGTACAAATTTATAACTATTAAGGTCTCGTTCACTTCACCGATTCGAGTTTTGTTACAGTAAAAAACTCTAAAAAATAGTCACATTTAAATTTTTTACTACAATAAAAAATTCTCATATAAAATCATATTTTAATTCAAATTAAAAATTCAAATCAGCGAACTAAACATTTCATAACAATAAACAACAGTTTTGCAATTAAAATATGGAATGAGACTTTACAAAGATTCTCCCGTGCTTTTTCTTAAAGAAGAGAAGCGCAAGGGGATTTTCTTTCGATGCCCAAACCAAAATTATTAATACACACATAAAAGAAAGTGCATGCCATGCGGCAGAGTCCAGTGTCTGCAAGCCGCGCAGCATTCAAATCCACTTAAACCAGCAATCAACTGCTTTTGCTCCGTTTAAGGCTGCTCTCTCGCTTCACCTTTTATTTAATTAATTTATTTGCTTATTTATCTTTTTCTTTTTGACTTTGTCATCCATTTTATACTGCAAACTTAAAGCTTCAAAAGCTTTGTTCTTTTCCTTTTGTTTATATTTTATGTTGGAGATCCCGTCTGGGTTCCTACTCCATGGCCCTTTGGGATTGGAACCTGTTCAAGATCCAAGATTCAGCCCTAACCGTCCGATCTTGTTTTTTCATGGTTCATTCTTAGGAGACATGATTCACCCCAAAGGGCCCAAACGGTAAAATGAGAATAATGAATGGAGAATGTAATGCATTATGTGCGTGGAACTTAATTATTACTATAATACAGAAGTAATTGCACGGATCGAATTTGTAGTAAGGGTATTTTAGACATTTTACTCAGGTCCCGTTAATTTCGTTGATTCGAGTTTTGCTACAGTAAAAAACTCTCACAAACAATCACATCTAACTTTTTTGCTACAGTAAAAAACTTTCACATAAAATCACATCTCAACTCGAATCAGCGAATTAAACGGGCCATCAGCATTTTTTTCCCCTTAAAGAAACACTCGTGTATTTTTTGTGGTTCCAATTCATTTATAGCGGGTTGTTGATTTTAGGATTTTTTTTTTTTCAATCTTCTTTTTTATTATAGTTAAATTTTGCGGTGGTTGAAAATGATTGTAACTCTCATATTTAGAAAGAGAGTTTGTCAATCAGTAATTGGTTATTTTTGTCGATTTGCTTATAGATTCATGGCTCGTTTAGTTTGTTGATTCGAGTTTTTAATTTGAATTAAGATGTGACTTTATGTAAGAATTTTTTATCGTAACAAAAAAGTTAAGTGTGACTGTTTTTTAAAATTTTTTATTACAATAAATAAATTTTAAATTCGAATCAGTAAAATGAACGGGACCTGAAACTGTCAATTTTTCAAAAAATTATGAATTTGAGCACCGACTAAAGAATCAAAGAATCCACCAATTTATTTCAGTTGGTAGTTAGTCTTCCATAAGCGAGTGAAGGAGATTTTCTTTGACGGCAATTGGCAGAAAAGAATTTTCTTACATAAAGGATTGATTAAAAAAAAAAAAAAACGTACAAATTTTGTGACTCTAGCGATGGATTGATTTTCCATGTCAATGTGTTAGGGATCAAGGAAGATAAATGGGCGAAGGAAAAGCAACAATTGTTGTGATCAGACAACTGAGGAGAAAGTAAGAGGTTTTTTGGCACTAAAGAATGATGTTATGTAAGGTGATTGGATTGTGGAACAAGGAAACTTGACACCAAATAATAAATTAATATTTAATTAATAATTAAGTATTTATTAATATATTAAATAATTAGTAATTAATAATTTAATATAATATTATT